GTTCCATTTTTTATCTTTAAAAACTGTTTTATTATAATGAAACAAAAGGAAAATATGTTTGGTTATGTTAATTTAAAAATAATTTTAAAATTAAAAAACTAGCTGATAATGAAGATAGTTCATCATAATAATTGGTTCAACTTACTATATTTTTCAATAATCAAATGTAGTATTTTTTTAAATGAGACAAAATAAAAACAAACTTAAAATGTTTCCATTTTTTTTATTTTTAAAACAAACATAAAAATACTTTAAATTCAAAATATTTATTCAAACAATTTTTTTATTTTTCTTGTTTTTAAAAATAAAAAATAGTTTTTTTTCAAAAAGAAAAAAACTAACCATATTCATCTCTGATGTTGATGGTTTAAGCCATAACTTGCTACCTCATTCTCAATCATAAATATTACAATTTACTAATTGCTTGGTTACTTAAAATGATAGAAATGGAATAAATTAAAAAAATATGAATAAAATAAGCTAAATTATACAATCTTCCATAACAAGCATTATAAAATTTAATCTTACATATTATAAACATGGGAATCATCACCCCTATCACAAATATCATGAATTATAATTCTCAACTTTATAAATTAAATTACTTTTTTTTCTCATGTATATGGTTAAATTTTCTCCTCTCCATATCTTGATTATTTTATTTTTATATATTTTTATGTAATCCATTCCATTCTTTTCATTTTTAATAAGCAAAATGGAACTTTATTTTACAGGCTCTAAAGGCAAGGGATCCACTCTTTTTGGTTCTTTATTCTCCTTTTTTTTTGGGGACAGAATTAGAAGTTGGAACTAATAAATATTTATATTTTTGGATGATGAAATAATATAAGAATATTGGAAAAATCCAATCAATATGCTTGGGGTGGCGCGGTGAATAATCTTCTTATTCTTTTTTTTGTTGGCCAAGAATAATCTTCTCATTCATATGTTGACTTTCTCTATTATTCAATATTCCCCGTTTCTTTCTTTTTCTCTATTTTTTCCAGGCAATTAAAACGTGGTTTACAATTTGTGTGCGAGCAAAAATATCATTACAAATCTTTTGTGAGTTTGTCTCATCCTGTACCTAGGTTAAAGTTAAGAAACCAGTCATATTATTTAATAATACATAAAATTAAAATAATATTTAATATTTTATAACACATGAATTTTAAATTTAACTGCATGGTACTACATACATATAATGTTAATGTCGATATTAACTAATTTTTTATATTTATGTATTCATAAATTTTAAAAAAAAATAAAAAAATAAAAATATATTAACAACATTTACATCACATGTTGCTATATTTTTTCCTCCCTTTTTTTTAAATAGTTTTATAAATTTTTATATATTCTCTCTTTAATTTGAAACGCAAGGAATCTAAAGCATATGTTTTTATTTGAAAATTTTTATTATCAAATTTAAAAGGTTGCAATATGTGCTGTCAATAAATTTACAAGTGTTTGCTTTTTTTTTATCACTCATGGTTTTTTTTCCTGAAAAATTAATCTAAATTATAAAATTCTTAACAAATTACATTATTTATAAATGAGAAAATTAATCTTTTAATCCCCCAACTTTTAACTCACTTGTAACTCAATCCCTCAATTATAACTCGTTGCGACTCAGTCCCTCAATTTTTGATTTACTTATAATTTGGTCCTTATTTTTTAATTTTTTTTAAATTTTTTTATCAAATAAGAGGGATAAAAAAATGTTCATATATTATTCTAAAATATCCTCTTCTTACTCATTAATTTGAGATCTAAACTAACATGAAAAAAAATTAACAAAAGTTGAGGGACTAAATTGTAAGTGATTCAAAAGTTAAGGGACTGAGTTATAGGCGAGTCATAATTGAGAGACTGAGTCACAGCGAGTCATAGTTGAGGGACTAAGTTACAAGTGAATTAAAAGTTGGAGGACTAAAAGACTAATTTTTCCTTTAAATTATAAACTGTACAATTTATTTTCCGACTTCACACAGTATGTGACATGTTTCTTTTTTAAGTTCTATAGTACCTCAGTAACAAATACATGAAAATTGTTGTTTCTTGTCTACCATACTTCCAAGTTCTTTTAAAAAAAAAGAAAAGAAAAAAAAAGTATTGATACAGTAGCATAGATTCTTTTTGAATTAAATACGATTCAAAATTTGAAATTAACTAAGTCGTTAGATCATACCCTCATGTACTTTATATTGCCATTTAATTTAATATTTCTCTTCCATAAAAAAATATAAGATAATTTTAATTGAATCTTATCTTCTAATAAAATAGTTACTTGTCTTTAAACTAACATCATTTTTTCATATTTATTCCTATTTAATAGAGTATTTTACTCAAAAATAATTATTTTTGGGAATACATTTGGAAAAAACAAAATGGTTATGTCTTAAAATGTTAAAAATATCTTATATTTTTAAATATTTAATTTCTTAAAAAATGTCAAATACTTTTAAATCGATAGAATATAGAATTACATATAAGCAGGACAAAGACAGCACATGATATGCACGGTAAATTTAGATCTGTTATGTTGATTTTTTGGTATATAATCATTAATAACTTCCTTTTGACAGCCAATCCTTTTATAATCGAAAATCTGTAATGTTTGCTAGCCCTTTATTTTTTGCCAAAAAAAAAATCAATAAAATAGGAACAAGAAATTCCTCAGCCTCTCTTTTATTTTTTAACAAACCATTTAATAACTTGTATTAGTGACTAATTCAGATTTAAGCCGAAGGCTTCAAGTAGGGAAACATTCCTCCAACATGATTTTTTTTTCCCACTTTTATTTTTCTGTATTCTTTTGAAAATAATAGAAAAATAAAATATGTGCAAAAATTGGGGTGTGTATTTGGAGAGTGCATATTATGGTGAAGGCCTAAAGGATGGTGTGTTATTTATTTGTGAACAAAATTTATATATTTAATCTTATATATTTAAATTTTTTATTTTTAATTAAATTAAGATATGTAAATTTTTTACATATTATTTATCATATAACAAACTCTTGTATTATTATTTTTAATACATTAAAATCGGCATGTATTAATTTGATCAATTGCAATATAACAAACTAAAATTTGAATTTCAATTGAGAGAGGTATTCATATTTAATGTTTAGCTGGTTTTAGATAGAATTGTCTTTAATAAAAAGATACATATGAACAATAAAAAAAGATATATTAAATATATAAGTTTAATCACCTAAATTTTTTCCTTTATTATTTATAATCAGAGCTGGCTTGGGTGGGTTAAACATAATAAGTTTTAGGGCACACATACAAATGGGGGATAATTTAAATGAAATGGCTGCTTAATGCTTGTTAAGAAAGAAGTAATTAAAATATTATTCGTATGGTCATTACAGCTCAAAATAAAATTCATTTTCAACTTTATTTTAAAAGGAACTCATATATTTAAATGGAAAAATGATAATAAAATTACTCTAAAATACATAAATGATAATTTAGTTCCTCAAAAATTTTATAATTCTCCTGAAATCCCTAAAATTTTTTTTATCATTAATAATTTATATAAATTATCAAATTACTTTCATTAAAAAATAATAATTCACAAGTTTTGTTTAAATATTTATAAATTTTTTTTATATTCACAATAATACAACAGTAAATCACAACTTTATATGTTAAGTTTCTTATTTACTGTTGCATTGTTGCGAATATTTAAACAAAATTTGTGAATTATTTATTTTAACAAAGATAATTTAATAATTTATATAAATTTATTAATGATGAAAAAGTTCTTAAATATTTTAAAAAAATTATGACATTTTAAGAGATTAAATTATTATTTATATATTTAAAAAATTATTATCATTTTTATATAAAAAATGATATATACAAAAATGCACTCGAATGAATAAAATAAATTAATTTTGAGAGAGAATATAACAATAAGAATAAAACGACAAGTGGATGGTGATAAGAGTTCAAATTCTTTCGATATAATCAAATAAAAAAACAATAAATTTTCCTTAATCTTTAAAATTCCCATTGATATATATATATATATATATATAAAATATATATATATATATATTTATATAACCAATGGTAAAGCCATATTGGGTTAAGGGTGTGCGAAATTGCAAATGCACCTTTTTACTTTGAAAAAAATTACATGTAAGATATATAAATTTATAACTTTGCACCACATACTCTTAATATTTTGCACCTTTTCAATTAAATGAAAATATTTATGCTCAAAAATTTATTAAATATATATTTTTTTAATGATTTAGATAAAATATGAAGAGTATATTTATAATATAAGATTATATTAATCTGTTCAATATGATTTTTTAAAATGAAAAATATGATAAAACTATTTATATTATTACCCTTTTAGTCTTAGCATAATTATTATTTTTTAAAAAATTAATTTTATTAAATTATTTTGCACCTTTAGGGTTCTGGTTCCGCCCCTATATGTAACATACAAGCCATCATTCCTATGAATATTTTTAGACAAGTGTCATTTTAAACATAGAAGAATGAGTTAAAGTTAATAATCAATTTCAACATCAATACTATGAAATTTATAATAAATCACATTATTAATAATTAAAACCAATGTTTAAAATTTTAACAATTACTTATCTTAATAAATTTATAATTTGAAAATTATGAATTAAAATTTTTGAACATTATGTGAAATGCTGCCAAAATTCAACTCCAAACATGCAAGAAATGATTTTTTTTTAATCAAACATGCATGAAATGAAATTATGGAAAGCTCTAAGGACTTAGTGAATTGCTTCATAGATTATTCCTTTTAATGTCCCTTGTTTTGTTCGTTTCTTTTCTATTTATGAGCATGCATATTCCTTTTCCTTGGGCCGTCTTCAACTTATTACGCCAAATTTAACAAAGGACAACAATGTCACCAACATTTAGTCATTGTAAACACAACAATGCAATGCGTGTTTGTCACTATTTTGAGACCACTTTGTCACACAAATTATAAAAAGCTCCATCACATATTCACATAGGTGGGGCAGGGAACAAAAGCAAGACGAAGAAGAAGAGACATTTATTATCATCCGGACAAATACAGGGGGGTTGAAAAATAAAGCAAGGTAATTTTTGCTTAATGATAACCCAACGTCCTAAGGCTTCTTTAAATTTCTTTTCTTCTTTGGTATTTTGATTTTTAAAAGATTCCCTCTCATCCCTTTTTGATTTCAGATCGTCTTTTGAAAGATTTTCTCCCCTCCACCTTAATTATAGGAACTACCCGCGCTTTTTCTTATTCCTTTCTTCTTCTTCAATATGAATATCGTTCTTGGGGATTTTCTCGGTGGGTTTGGTGGATGATTGCCAGATTCGTTTTGCGTTTTCCTTGCTTTCTTTTAACAAGAAGAGCTCTAACTGAATTTTCTACCTTGCTAAACGGAAAATCCTCACTCTTCTTTGAACAATGCCTTCTTCGGATTCGGTTCCTTCCTGTATCTTAAAGAGGGGGATTTGCAAGGTGTTAGCCTCCCTCCGCAGTTCTTACGTCGTCTCTGGTGCTTATAGAGTTCAAAGGCACCTCCTATTCACGACCGCTCTCTGCCGTTATTTATTTCGCGTTCAAAGTCAAAATTTCCGTCTATCGTGATCGCTCTTCCCCTATTTATTGATGATTCATCTCTTTCCGGTTTTCTGTGCTTGTGGGTTTTCCCTCGTTCTGCTTCTGGTTGGGACCGTTCTCTTTCTTGGTTTCTGATCGTGCTCTCAAGGTTTGTGCTTTGTTAATTAGTATGGTTTTTCTTCGAAAGAGTTTGAATTTTGATTTTTCGGTTCAGTGGTCTTGGTCATCCAACAGTGGGAACTGGGTCGGTTTCTAATTGTTTTACTTTTCTATAGTCTTCTATGTTCAACCTTTTGTTTTATCATAATTTCCGTTTAGTCAATAAAGGTGGTTGGCGAAGAAAAAATCCTAGTTTTGAAGCAGACGCAGTTGATTTTTCTTCACAGAATAAATACATGAAGGTTTAAGTTAGGGAGCTTTCGTCCGTTTCTGGATTATATATATACATCAAACTTGTTTTTCAGCTGCTGGAAAGTTGGATTATTCTTTTCCTTATTGCATCATCCGTTGCTTTCCCATTTCTTTTGCAATTTGGAAATTGAGTTTGTAAATATTGGGTATTCCTGAAGGACTCGGTAGGTGGAGAAGGTGTTAGAACACCGAAGATGGATTTGGAAGATTCCATGAAGGGTGCTGCAAATGGTATCAGTAATGATAAAATTTTCAGAGCTGATAAAATTGATCTCAAAAGTTTGGATGCGCAGCTTGACAAACACTTAAGCAGGGTTTGGTCCAAGAACATTGAGTCCAAAAGGCCTAAAGAAGAGTGGGAGATTGATTTGGCCAAATTGAATCTGCGATATGTTGTAGCTCATGGGACCTACGGTACTGTTTACAGAGGCACCTATGATAACCAAGATGTTGCAGGTAATTCGGCTATGTACTCTTTTATGTGCTATAAAGTGTTCATTCTTTTTCTTTTTCCTGGTTCGTTATATTGTTCGCTGAATGAATGATTGGAGAGAAATTAAAATGAGTTACTCAATGTGTTTGGATACTATCAGGTTCCATATTCTCTCCTCTTTCTTTGTCATTTGTGGCCTGAAATTGGAAGGTCCATGATCGATCTGGAGCTTATAATTGTACCCTGTGTTTTCATGTCATCTTTACTTTTTTGACTTTTGTGTAATGTTCATTCAAAATTACAGGCAGTACAGTATGTTTGAGGTGCTAAAATATCTAATTATTTCAGGGCTGAGGCGCATCACACACGGCAACCCTAGGCAGGATTGCTTTATGTTACCCTACTTTGAAAAAATTGGGCCTAATCAAGGTCATTCATAATGTTGCCGTTGACTCTAAGACATATCTAATATCTCCTCATAAAACAAGGAAGTTAGGCAGCTGTGAGAGTCGTCATTAATTCAAATTTCAGAACAAACCTTTTTCTTTTAGCCTGTGATAAGGGGAAGAGGGTATAGCTGCTAGCATAATTGTGTGCATTTTCATTTCCTTAGTTGCCTAAATTGCCATCGGGCAACCTGTGATTGTTTAGATATGCGTGCCATAATTGTGCATTTACACCATTATATTGCATGCCTTGATTTTTTTAATGTAAGGCTCATAAGTAAACCTGACTTCTCAATTTATTTAATGTTTGGCCAATAATATTTAGGTTCGGAAAAAGTGTTGGATAATTACTTGTTTGAGGATAGTTACTTTGCCATTATGTTATGAGTAAAAGTTATAATTACAACTTATGTTTTGGAATGGTTTTATTGAGTCCTTTATGATTGGAATGAACTGGGGAGGTTTGACGCCTTTTGTTTTCTGCAATTTGCTGGTGCTTGCTATTCTTTATTTGACAAATGCGGTTGTTGGAATTTGAGGTTAAGTCTACGGTTTCTTAAGTTAACTGTTTGCTATTCCTCATCAAAGAAACCAAACTTAGTTTCAACGCTGAATATTCTTGTTTTCAGAAAATTCTCACTTTTCTTATGTTGAATTTCATAGTGAAAGTTTTGGACTGGGGTGAGGATGGTGTCGCCACAGCTGCTGAAGCTGCTGCTTTACGTGCATCATTTCAGCAGGAGGTTGCTGTTTGGCACAAACTCGACCATCCAAATGTTACAAAAGTAAGGACTTAGACTCTTAGAGTCTTCATCCTAATGTATTTAAAATTATGAACTAGATCTTGTTACTGAACACAGTTGATGCTTGAAGTGGCAGCTTTGAGCAGTGATGCATAATTATTTATGCTGTAGAAGTAATGAAACTTCGGATACTCACATTTTCATGGCTAAGAATTAAATGCCAAGTTTTAAGCAGGATATACTCAATGTTCTATTTATAAGGCATCTCAATAGTCACTGTATTTATCTTTACCATTTTGCTCTTTTTAAATGTTGGGAAGGTTGTTAAATACTAGAGAATTTGATTTTTAAAGTATGTATATTTAATAGGGATAAAGTTGAAAATTTACTGAATTTTTGGACGAAGTTAATGAGGTTTAAGATTTAATAACACCAGAGGAGTATTCTTTAGTGCATGCCTTCAGTTTTTTTTTTTTTAATTGTTTCTTATTCATTCTTGCTGCAGTTTATTGGAGCTTCAATGGGAACCTCAAATCTTAAGATTCCCACAAAGAACTCATCAAATGATGGTCAAGATTCCCTTCCTTCTAGGGCATGTTGTGTTGTTGTGGAGTATATCCCCTCTGGGACGCTAAAACAACTATTGTTCAAAAATAGGCATAAGAAACTTGCTTTCAAGGTTGTGATCAAGCTGGCTTTAGATCTTGCTAAGGGGTAGATACCATTTCTTTTATCATTACCCAAAAAAAAAAATGAATTTCTACTGAACTGAAATATTTGCTTTCCCTCATTTTACAGTCTTAGCTATCTACATTCAAAGAAGATTGTACACCGTGATGTCAAAGCGGAGAATATGTTGCTAGATGGCCATGGAAACTTGAAAATAGCTGATTTTGGAGTCGCACGAGTTGAAGCACAGAATCCTAGTGACATGACTGGTGAAACTGGAACTCTTGGATATATGGCACCAGAGGTATTGATTTTGGTTTAGGAAAAAGAAAAATTCTTGTTTAGCTGTTTGTACTCATTCCGTCTTTGTTTATAAAACACTTTTTGGCGAAAATATACACATCGATAAAGTTCATTAAATACACTTTATAATTTTATTTTTTTAAAATACAACTATAATGAGGGAAGAGTAATATTGAAACAAGTATAATTAATGAGACCTTATTTTTGTCAGAGTCATAGTGTCTTATACTCTCTCCAATCCAAATATAAGCATCGTTTAACAATCATCTACATACCAATAAGATCCTTACTCATGAACATATATATTGTTTTTCTTTTTTTTATCCTTAATTCTACTTTTATGATGAGTGAGAAGGTCATAAATTCAGAGACACTAGGTTCCTAAATAAAAGGGGTCAAATAGATTTTTTTTTATAAATGCTAAATTGCATATATTTTGGATTGGAATGAGTATTTTGGGACAATGAATTTCTCCAAAAGTGTGTCTTATAAACTAGGATGGTGGGAGTATTTTTCATGGGTTGGTCTTACAAAGAGATTGGTATAACCATGACTTGATTTAAAGAAATGTTCTATTCTATATTAGTGCATGGGTAACTTACATGGCTTCCATTCCAATCATGTTTGCATTCTTCTGTGAATTTGCTTCTGTCACTGTTTGCAAGCATATTGGAAGCTGGCCAATTTCTTCTGTTATATTTAATACGAACCATTATACTTTGTGTAGGTTTTGGATGGTAAGCCTTACAACAGAAGATGTGATGTGTACAGCTTTGGCATTTGCTTGTGGGAAATATATTGCTGTGATATTCCTTATCCAGATCTTAGCTTCGCTGATGTGTCATCGGCTGTTGTCCGTCAGGTTAGTTCATGCAATGAATTATTTGTGTGCAGACTCTGCAATCATCATTCTTGCATTAGTATTTTGGTAGTGTCACTGATATGATCCAAAGATAACATATGCTGTAGTGAACTCTTGGAACCATTATAGCATAAAAGAAACTCCTCGAACTAACAACATATTTTCAATTATACCTTTATTAAATATCTTACATAAATGCTTAATAATGATAATTGATATTTCAATGCATCTTTTTTTAAAAAAAATTAATAAATGAAGTATGGGTATGGTTGGAAATAAAATTATAAAAACTACTTAATGCCTTATATTTTAGATCAAATAAGGTTTTTAGAAGATGTCTTATATTGTGGTATGGACATAGTACGTTATTTAAGACTTTTGGTATCCTTTTAAGTTGTAATGTCTAGGTTGAATTAAGATAAGCTATCCTAATAACAGATTTAGCATCTAATTACATGATAGAAAAAATATTTTTTAAGAACAAAGGTTTTGTAAGTGTCTGTTATCAGTTTCTCTGATAAAAACTATAACCTATATGACGTTTGTTTCGACTCAGCATCACATATCAGAACTTGATAGCAAAAGCTCGTGCTAAAAGTTTATGTGGCTCGGCGTTCTTGTGCAGAATTTGCGACCCGAAATCCCGCGATGTTGTCCAACATCATTGGCTAACATCATGAGGAAGTGCTGGGATGGGAATCCAGACAAGCGTCCAGAAATGGGTGAGGTGGTGAGTTTGTTGGAAGCCATAGATACAAGCAAAGGAGGAGGAATGATACCAGAAGATGCCAAACCAACTTGCTTCTGTTTCGCTCCATCTCGTGGTCCCTAACTCTTCAATTCCTTGTTGAAGCTGAACACACACACACACACACACATCATTGCTCAAGGGAAGATTTTGAGAGAGAGAGAGTTGCAGGTGGTAGATTTTATTGCATGCTTTGCCACAACATACCCTAACTTGCTTTCCTGGTTAGTGGTAGAAGAGATGAAAGATCATGAAAACAAAAGGGAAATAATGTATGACACGTTTGTTTTTTTGGTGTAATGAGAAGCAGAGATTGGTTGTAAGTTTCTAATACCACTTTTTTTTTTTTTTTGGTGGTGCATCTATTAAAATGTTCCAATATAAAATCATTTTGATTCACCTACCTACATCTTCTGGTTTCGATCAAATTTTCCCTTGATGGTAAAGTTTTCAATATCATAAAGGTGGGGATTTTGGTGAAATCAGTCTTGATTAATCTTAAAAGCATTTACACTTTATCCATAGATGTCAATATCATCATGAGAAAATGATCTCAAATAATATTATATATTTATAATGGGTCCAAAAATGAAGTTAAGTTTTAAAAGGGTATAATATTTTAAATTTTTTTATTTTCTAAAAGAATTTTTAGCCTTTTTAGGTTCAGACTTGTCTTATTTTATAAAAATCTTTGGTTTTTGGCTCAACTTTGGGTTTTGACTTAATTTCAATGATCTTTTTTTTTTTGGGTTTAAATTAAGTCGTTAGCAAGTTTGATTAATGATTTAATTTATTCAACTGTTTGGTCCGATTCGGTTTAGTTCTTAAAACAATGCTAGTCAGTTAATTATAGTGTAAAAACTTCATCTATTCATATCTTTTTGAGAGTCAACTGGATCATGTGGGTTTTATATGTTGTCTAGAATAATATTTATTATCCATGGTTTTGTTAAATCATGGATTCTAACAAGGCTTGACTTATGCCAGCAGGTTAATGAAAAGAAAATTAGTAGAAAAATTCTCAGATAAATCCTAAACTATTATTTGGGAATTTTTTTTTTTAAAACTAGTCTTTGCTGTGATCTTTACGAGTCAAATTTGAAACTTTGCAACTCATTTACGTTTTTGCACAGGTTTCTTAGGGGAGTTATTATTAATAAGTAAAATTTAGAGGACTTAAAAATAATTATTTTTTTAATTTACGGCTTCTTTGTAATTTTATCGGTTATTTTTTTTTTGGTTCAGAATTTTTCCAGATTACCTTTTTTTTTTTGTACCAGTTCCAGATTACTAGACTGTGGAGTACAAAAGGAATAAGCCCACGCTTCTCTTCTTCAGGTCAATAGCCCAATTTTGAGTTCAACCTTCTTTTTCTTTTGGGATAATAAATTGACAAAACGACTAAGTTCAAATTTCAATCATTATTCTTCTGTTTTTACAATACATTATTCGATTTTAATTACTTTGACGAAGCTGTTGAATTCTATCTTTCGTTTACATAAAAGCCATATGTGATTTTAAGTTTTAGTTTATTATATTTGTTTACTCATAGTTCGCTTTATGTTACATTTTTTATGAAGCCAATGCAATTCTAAAATATTTAATATAATACTTAAATTAAACTTTTATTCATCAAATCAAACACTAGTTTTTGTTTAATCTTTCATTTAATTTTTTTCATGTTTTTTAAGTTTAATTTTCATAATTAATCCGATTAAGTTTAGCTTGATATCTAATTAGTCATTAACAAATTTTCAATATAAATTGTAAAATATTTTCTTAGAAAGAAATCATGAACAAGGATCTGTACACGCTCATTCCATTGCAATGTGTGTGTGTGTAATATTTTTGAAGATTCTTTGTTTATGAATAAAAGTCATATTGTAGAATTTTCGAAGTAATTGATGATTTATTTCTAAAAATACCACTGATAATGATATATTATCATTTATGGTGAATTATGAAATTAGGACTATATTTTTTTAAAGGTACAATTAGAAAGAGAAAAATGGTTTTAAGACATCAATTGTATTTCTCTAGTTAAAAATGAGGGAGCAGTAATATTTTTTACCCGAATGTGTTTCTTTTAATTGTTATCCACTATTACACAGATTAGGCTTTAAACTTGGTTGTATTTAATTAAAATTGAATAAAACATATCTCGTGAACTAAATAATATAGAAAGATAAGCGTGTACGATGGTCACAGGTTGATAAATAAATATCAACGAAAAAGAATATTAATTGATGCTTTTCGAAGTACACCAATAAATGCAGAAAATTTGCCGATGATAAAGTTGGTGCTAAGGGATAAGGTTAGGTGCCAAGATTGGCATTTTTTTTAATATGATTTATTATTATTATTATTATTATTATTTGATTGTTAAAAGTTAAGAAGAATTATGTTGAAATTTCACACAAAATAATTAATTATTATAAGACCATTGATAATTTTGACTTTAATTCAATTGTTAATAGATTTGTAATAATTCATTGTTTTTTATATGTGAGGCCTGTATGTAAATTTTTTTAAAAGTTATGATTGAAACAAAAATATTGGATGGTTTGTGCCAAGTTGTCACTTAATAATTCATCTTCATGTATAAGTTATTTAAATGATAAAAAGTTTTTGAATCAAAATATTGATAAACTAATCAAAATAAATTGCCATAAAAACTTATATTAAGCGCAACAAATTATTAAAAATAACTTGAAAGAATTTTAAAAATATTTGATTGAAAAAAGAATAATAAATATTGATAAATTTTTTATGAATGTAAATGTAAACACGTACTCCCTCCATTAAAAAATATAAAATATTTTTAATCAAATTTTATCCTCAATAAAATAATTATCTAGTTTCAAACTTACCTTATTTTTTTATATTTATCCCTATTAAATATCTTATAATAAATATAAATTCATTATCAATAAAGGCACTTTTAAAAAAAGGTAATGATTATATGTTAAAAGACTAAAAATGCCTCATATTTTTTAACATAAAACTCTCCAAAAAATACTTTACATTTTTAAATAGAGGAAGTATATTTAAAAATAAAGATAAAAATTGAAACCTTCTCATAATTTAAAAACTGGCATAAAATATTGCACTGTGCAACAACTCACATGGTTAATTGATATTGAAAAATGAAGACGATAGGTGCAATAAAATGTGAAATAATAATTTTTTAATGAAAAAATATAATCAATATTAATATTTATTGAGAAAAAGCGATGGTCTTTATTGGCTAACAATAATAAACACATAGGTACAAGTTTTTATATTTTTCACCTCCTTTTCATATTTTACACTTTTTATTTTGGTATTTAAACTCTAAATCCATTGGTCTTAAGTGACAATAATTTAATTGCACAAAGATTCTGAAACATAAAATTATAGCAGAAAAATATTAGATATGTGATTATTAAATTATTTTTAAAAAATTTTATATTTAAATATTTTTGTCCCTCCTGGTCCTGACTTTGCCATTAATTATTAACTCATTTATATTAGTAGTTTTAGTAAAAAAGATAGTGTAAAATCAATGTGAAAGTGGTGTCATATTCTTATCCTCAAAACTCAAAAGTGAAAGTGGTGTTAGCAATATAAGGATAAAGAAAAAGATGGTTGAAGTTGGAAATTTCACAGAAGTGCTAGTTGAATACATTTTCAATAATGAAAATAAATATGATTGTCTTTATCTCTCTTACATGATGCGGACTTTGTCCTAACCTCGCACATTTCCCTCATAATTAGGGTAATGATCACTTGTAGTTTTAATTATTTAGAACATTTCACAAATTTGCCAGTTTCATCATCTCACGCAATCTTCAAATTTGCATATTGTTAAAATAAAATATTAATTAACAACCACTCCTTTTAAATTAGAATATGCCCAGGCATTGCAAAACACCCAAAAGAACAAGTTTTCCTATTTACGTTGAAGTGTGTGAAAGTTGTTAGCTTATTATAGATTTGATAAAAATTTGAAACTTATTTTATTGTTGTCTACTTCAAATTAACATATATATTGTATAAATTTTTCACTTCAAAAGATAAAAAAGGAACAGTGTTCAAGTAAGAATAAAAATATAACTTAAGCTTGTTTGGTTTTTTTGCGTTTCACATTTAAAAAAAATTTTACTTTCAAATATTGAAAGTTATTTATATAAAATATTTTACAGAAAAGTATATTTAAACAGTAACTGAAAGTGAATTTAAAAAACATAACCATTTAAAGTTTTTGAGAAGTAAATTTAAAAAGTAAAATGTTATTGACCATATTATCTCAAGCTTAATCTCTTATTTTTTATTTAAAAAATAGTTAATTCATTAAAAATATAACTATCATTTCAATAATAATAATTAGACATCAAGCTTTTAGTATTATAAATTAAATAATTAATCATGTCAATTTTTGGCATTAATTTATAATAAAAATTATAAATCTTTATCATATTTTTTAAAATTACAAATTAAAAAGGTATAAATAACTAGAAATCAAGTTTTTAGCATTATAGATTAAATTTTATATTATTTAAAATATATATAACATTTTTTAAATATTTCAAATCTATTACATTTGTATAATAAAAATTACAAATAATCATAAGTTAATTTTTTTATAATGATACATTGAAAAGTATATTTCACTATTATAATTTAAATAATTTTCAGTGTATCAAACTGATTTTTAAAAAATATATTTAAATATAAATTTTGTTACAACAACTGACTTTCACTAAACTGACTTTTATAAATGAATTTTCATCAAATGAACTTTTAACAAATTAAAACCAAACACACTAAAATTTATCAACATACTAAAAAAAATAATGTTTGATTAAATATGAATTTCAGTATATTAATAAATCAAGTTGATTTATAGCGAGTAAATTGTAGTTTATCTACTTTTAAAATTATTTTTGGTTCTTTTTTGACTTTTTTTCGGTTGATAAAATGTATTTTTGTGACAAATATTTGAGTCTTTTAAAATAAAAAATTATTTTCCTATCTTTTCTTTATACTCTCAGGATAACAAGGTTTTGTGACATTTATGAAAACGACATGTCATATTTGCGTAAGTACTTTGGTAACATACTACAAATATTATGTGATATTGGAGGGATTGAGATTTGAGCATGATTCTTGAATGTTTAAATCCACCAAAGTGGCTCACCAAATTGAATAAGTTAGAATGGAATCGATATATAAGTATTGAAAAAGAAAAATTAGTGGACAAATGTGCAAGAAATATGAATATATATTGTAAAATTATAAATTTTAAAATAATTATATACATTATATAAATATTATATCTCACAAATTTTTTTATCTTTAAATTGTATAACATTTATTAATTTTCTTAAATAATATTTTCGAAGACCAATAAGGCAACAACAATTTAACTTTACGAAATTAAAGAGAAGACAATTTTTCACATGCTTGTCTTGCAAAAGCAAAAGGGTTAAGAAAATTGATATCAAATAATTTTTTTTTTGTAAAAGTTATCATCAAGAAGGCTAATTAATTGACACATAGGCTTGGTTATTACGTCTAGAATGGTTGATAATACCAATATTTTTATATTTTATATAGATATTATGAAACTTAATTTTTTTTAAAATTATTCCAATTATTAATTTGATCTTTAAAATTTAATCTTTATAAACTGAGTATTTGAAGTTTCAAAATCAAACATAATTACGCTACTTATGCATATAGAATTATATATCTTCAACTTAAATGTCAAAGAGTCAATCCTCTTACTTACAAGCATCTTTCATTTCACATCCATTCTTGCAACCCACTCCATGTCCGTATTCCCTTCAAATAATAAGTATTTCTTTATTTTTGGTAATTACTAGATCAAGAATAAGCCACACTAAAATAGACGAAATATTATTATAAAAAAAAGTATTAGTTTGTTCTACAATATTTTTAGTATTATAATAAAAAATAATATTTTTATATAATGGCATTGCCGTGATTTTTCTTATAATTCTGGTTTTGAATTCTTAATAATAAATGTTTTTACTAGTGTATTTAAACTTACTTATTTATTAATATCTGTTGGTTATGAAAATTAGGGAACAAACGGACAATAATGTATCTAGACATAGATAGTTTACATTCTATTGCATTATTAGTCCTTTTCTTTGTCCGATCTCTTCTGTGTCTAAAATAAAATGATCATTTTTTTATGAACTAAAACGATCATTATTAATAAATTGGAGTAGCTTTTTTGTGTCTTTATATATATATATATATAATACAATTTTAAAATATGATAAATGAACAAATTACTTTTTAATCTTTAGGTTCAGTGGCATTATAGACTTTAAATTTATTTATTGTATAAATTGTTCCTCAACTTTGGAAGATGGTGCAATTTGGCTACTGTTGTTAATACAAATTAATTTTAATCATTATTTGACTAGAAAATAATAGCAAAAGACTTCAAAAATTATAGAAAAGGGTTAAACAATTTTTTGTTCTTTTTTGTAAATTTTGGGTCATTGTCTGTAATTTTGGAATCCTTTGATGTAATTTGTGGTCTTTTTTTTTGTAATTTTTGAAGTCTTATTCTATTATTTTCTAGTCAACTAATAATTAAAATTAACTTTTATTAACAGTTGATGCCAAATTACACTGTTTTTAAAATTTGAGAGAATAGTTTACATAATAAATAAGTTTAAAGTTTCTGGTATTACTTAATTTAAAATTCAATGGGTAATTTGTTTATTTCGTAAAGGTGTATTTTTACCTTTGAAATATTCTCTAAGAAGTGTTTAGCACCTTAAACTATTTGTTAGAATAATTTTGCCCTTGAAATAATTAAAATGAAACATTTTTACCCATATTGTCAAATTCTTAATATTGACCATTAAAAATATTAACTAGAACTCTAACATTGATTATTAAGGAATTTAATGGGAAGACAAAAAATATTTTATTTTAATTACTTTAAAAGTAAAATTATTTCAATCAATAGTTAAAATATTGAATGTTCCTCAAAGAATACCTTATGAATAAAAATGCACATTTACGGTTTACTGTTGTTTTATTTACCCTTCAAAATTTATATAAAAGTAAGACACTCTTACAATATTTAGCTATTATCGAACGATTACTATTCATTTAGAAATTTTGTAATATAAAAATAGTTCTTGAAATTAAATACTTGTTTTAAAAAATAATTAATACATAATTGAAATTAAAAAGTACTCATGTTAATTACCTGCCATCCAAGTAGTAAAGTTGTAAATCATTATATGTTAATTATCTCGATGAGTTTGATGATGAGGACTATTTGAATAACATTGAAATGTTTTTTTTTCCCTTGAATTAAATTCTAGTACGATAATTTCTTCTCTCGGGACACCTTTCAAAATAATCGATCACATCAAAATGAAAACGCTATTTTTGTTTTTTTTTTGTTTTTGCTTATTGGGGCATGGTGGCATAACTGTTAATTCGACAACTTAGGATGGATTCATAGTACGTCTCCACTTGCATGGAGAATACATTCTACCAATGTTGACATGAATTTTGGTTAAGACTTGAGAGTTTATCTTTTTGTTAAGAAATATTTTTCCTCCCCAAAATTTTTTTGTCGTTGAAAGGATTCTTTTAGAATATTTTATTTTATTAATTCTCAGTATAAGATGCTTTAGATATTATCTAAATCGTTAACTTTTTTTTTTCTCAAAATGCTTTTTATTTGATGCGATCCATTATTTGAAAGGTGTTTCGAATTTATTTGAAATGAGGGTAATTTTTTAAGAAAAAAATTTAAAACATCTTTAATAATATTAATTAATTTAAATTAATTTTTTAATATATGTGAGATGATCATCAAGCCCTTATAAAAAGGATTGAAAAGATTATTTATTAAATAAAGCATATTCCCTAGAGACCTAGTCCCCCCATTATTTATCGTAAGTCATCCTTTAACTCCTTTTTGCTTGTCAATATTGTCAATCAACGTCTCTAAAACATTATCATCGTTCCAAATATATATTTTTAGTAGGCCCCCATATTGGAATCAAGACCTCCGACTAATTCGGATTTAAGCTGTATTAAGTTTTTTTGACATATTTTTATTAAATACAATTGATTATTTTAATATCTAGTATTTTTTTTACTTGTCAATTATATTATGAACTGAACACATATATCACTCTCAATATTCAAAATGACTTGCAAACAATTTTTCTTTTAAATGTGACTCTTGATAGGTAGCATAGCATATTGGTATTTTTTTACGTAAAATGACTATTAGGTCTCATAATATTAAATTAATAATAGTCATGTTGATGATATTTTTTTAAAAAAATAAGTTATAAATATCAATTGATACAATTAGAAACATGAATTCTAGTTTCAATATAAGAGACATATTTAAAATTTTAATGTTTTATATACAATTTAAACTTCTAAATTTATAATTGTTTTAATAGATTTTCTCAACTTATTTTTTTTTAAATTTTCATTATTGATTCAATATTTTCAAACTTAACTGTCCTCTTTTTCTTTTTTTGGGCTGACGTTCTTCTTTTTGTGATTATCCAAAAAAAAAAAGAAAAAGAAGAAGGGCATGTTAGAGGGAACCATTTTAGGTGCTCATTAGGGTGATGCAATCTGCATGGTTTAGATTTAAATAAATAATTTAATAATTTTTTTATATTTTTTAAAATAAAAAATTATAAAAATTATAAAAAAGTTTTAATAAATATTTTTTAACTAATTTAATTTATATTTAATTTGAAGGGTCTAATTTAATATTAAAATTTTTATATTTTAACTATCTAGATGTATTCTATATAGTTTATATTTAAAATTTTTAACTTGTAATTTTTTTAAAAAACATTTTTAAAAAGTTATAATTAAAAAATTATTTTCTCTGATTCTATTTATAAGTCATTTCTACCAACCTCATCAATACCAATACAATAAAAGTATAAAAAATAAAAGTAAGTAAAATTTCAAACATAACCCTCAAGTAAAAAGTAAAAAATAAGTCAATCATATAATACTATTTTTTCTATCTTTCTCTCTCTTATTTTTTAAGGGTAATTTGAGAATTTTAATTTGAAACAAAATAATCCCATTAACAAATGACTTATAAAATGGATTAAATTATGCTTTTAAAAAGTTACTTATATACTGGACCAGAGGAGTATATATTTTATTTTTAATATTATATTTATCAAAATAAAAATAAAAACTTTAAATTTAAACTTTGCAAATAATATAATCGAATATGGACTATTCAAAGTACATGTAGATAATAAATTTAAAAATTATAATATTAAATTATATCACTTAAATTAAATTAATACTATTCAGATGATGAGCCTATTTAAAAAAAAATTATAAATTTTTATTTTAATAAATATAAATTAAAATTAAAATTAAAAATTAATAAATTTTGAGTCATTCAAATTAAATTGAATGGCCCTTACTATATTTGATGGACGAGCATCTCGGTGCCCAGCGCTGAAGACGGACCCATGTTAGGGGTATAGATGTAAATTCAAAAGCTTTCCCTTCAATGTGGATGAACATGAAGCAACAAGCAGGTCACATTCAAGGTAAAAAAAAAAAAAAAAAAAAAAACCGAAAACAAGAGAGATGGGGGGGCCTATGGGAATTTTATCTCACACATATAATATTAAGGTAGGCATCCCCACCTTCTTCATCAACACTTTAAAAACCCGAAGATTCAGACACAAACGCTGCTAATAGCTTCTGTTTCTTTCCAGCGACGAGGAGCATGGGGTTCAAGGGGAAGCATACGTCGTTTGTTTTCACTGATTTCCTTCACCAGTGCGGCGGCTACGCCGTCATAGACGGCGGCTTCGCGACGGAGCTTGAAGGCCACGGCGCCGACCTCAACGACCCTCTCTGGAGTGCTAAATGCCTTCTCGTTTCGCCTCATCTTGTCCGCCGGGTACTCGGTCTTTCTCACTCTCACATAAAATTTTTATTTTTATTTTTATTTATTATTTTTTATACAATAATAGCCGATTTAATTAATTACACAGAAATTGATGTTCAGTTTTCTAAAACGGACATATAATAAAATAATGATTATAACAGCAGGCCGACTGCGTCTACTGCCTTCGCTTGTCATCAACTTGGGAAAATATAACAGCAGGCCGACTTTGATTTTCCTTTATTTTTAGTATCTCTGATTTTATTTCGTCGTTCCTGGTCCTTTAATAATCTAGTTTAATTCATCATATCGTTAGTCTATACTTTCTTTCAATAACAATATAAGTCATATTTTAAAAGTTTTACTTAGTTTAAAATAATATATAATATTATGTAGGTGTTGAATATTTTTTTCGAATTACACCATTATTTTATTGAATAATTAATAATAATGTTTTAAATAAGTCAAATATTATATTTATTATACTTAAGGGCATGATTGAAAATATGTATAAATTTTTAGAAAATCAAGATTTTAATCAACTTTATTTTTAACACGGTGACATATATTGACATGAAAAATAAATTGATTATGTATAACTAAGAATAAAAGGTGTAGGGGCAAAAAAAAAAAAAAAGAAAGCATATGAGAGATGAAGACAGTATTCGGTACATGTCAACAAAAAATATTAATAGAATTAAGTATATGTTAAGAAAATAAAATTAACTCCACGGTGCTAGCTCCCTGTTCTTGAGTGCATTTTTAAAATTAGAGAGAATAATGTTGCAAATAGATTAAATTAAAAAGATTGAGAATAATAAAATAAAAGGATGATGTAACTTTTAATTTTTTAAGTTTATCTTAATTATTGATTTAGTTCATCAAATTTAATTTTTATCAATTTAATTTTTTAAGTTTACTTAGGTACTTATCAGTTAAAAAAGAATTTAATGTTAAAATTTAATGATATAGATAATAAAATATTGAGGATAGTCATGCAAATTAACAAAAAAAAAAATATAATTATTTTGGTAAAAAAAAGGACTTTGAAATTAAAAAAAAGGTAATAAAACATAGTGTAAATGATTATTCTGATAAAAATTAAATTAATTTGATGATTAATTTATTTTCGTTTAACTACATATACATGTCAAGTCATTAATATTCTTTACACATTAGATTACTTTGAAAGTCAATTTGTATTCTAAACTTAAAGGATTCACATAATAATTTTTAAAAATATAAAAAATTAAGTTGATAAAAATTAAACTTGAGAGATTAAATTAATAATTGAACTAAATTTATGAGACTAAAAGTTTTATCATTCATTCATTCCTAAAATAAAATATAGGATCTAAAAATAAAACCCTTGTATTTTCTCAAATAACAATATGCCGAATATCCTTGCATAAAAAAATTGATCGTTTACATGAATTGTGACCCCCTTTGGCCATTTAATGGCCGGCAAAACAAAAGAATACCTTAGGCAGCACAAAAAAATAGACACGCTGATTAATTACCCCCCTTCCTTTTTCGACTGATCGTGTGAAAAGGAATTTCAAAGAAAAACGACGAAATTGAGAAAATTAATGAGGATTGAATCCAGAAGAACAGGTTATGTCTTAACAAATGAATCAAGATGATTAATGTGCATATATTTAATGCCTTAACTAAAGAACAGGCTTTAATAGGAGAATTGTAATAAATCAAAAGAAAATAGGCTTTAAAATCACATTTTAAAATCATTTTAAAATGATTATCTAAAAAAAGGGGTTTCATAACACAATTTCCAGTTGAACACGTACTGAGTTTATCTTGCCCGCGTGTCAGCATTTGGTAGCACATACATGGGGGCAGGGGCTGCTTGGTGCCCCTAGAAATACACGTATGGTATTGAGAAAACATAATTTTTAATTTCTATATTTTATTTATATTTTATTACAAATTTTGTAGTTTTTTTAATATTTTAAATTTATATACTTTTTTTATATTTTAGGTCTTCAAATAAATAAGGTGTATGAACCTTGGAGTAATTTAAAACACCAAAAAATAAAAGTATAGAAATTTAAAATATTGAAAATAAGTGTAAAGACATATAATAAAATGCAAACAAAATATAAGGATTAAAAGTTATTATGTTTTTTCAAATAATAATAATAATAATAATAATAATAAAAGTATTCTTAGCAAGTAAAAGACCATTATGCTAACAGGATTTTCTTAGCAGCGATTGCATTTTTATTTTTGGGCCGAAATTTTATTTTACTTTTAATTGAAGCACGAAGCATCATCATATCGTATTACATAAAAATAAAATAAGCCGCATCACAGTTTTACTATTAAAAAGATTTTCATTTTCTCGTGTATTTGTCGGCTGCACTACTCTGCTCTGCCTACACAGTACATTTGATTATTAATTATTATTAATTAATAATTGTATTAATAAAAAATTCAAAAATTACTAAACAGTTTCCATTTTATTATTTACATACTATTTAATCAGAATATTTTCAATCAAATTAATTAATAATAATTTATTTTTTTAATATACATATATTCTCTCTCTCTCTCTCTCTCTATATATATATATATGTATTTACACTCTCTCCACACATTCAAATTATTTTGACAGAAAATTAATATGCAATTATGTGTGTGACAGGTTCACCTAGATTACCTTAACGCAGGAGCAAGCATAATAATAACAGGATCCTATCAGGTAACTTCTACAAAAGCATTGGGGCTTAGATTGGATTGGGCCAGAGTTCATCGGGCTTGGGCCCAAACCCAACTAGGGTAATTATTGACACTGTTCACTTAATGTAACGCATTGTTTTTGTTCTTGCTGGGATTGGTACAGGCTACGATTCAAGGCTTCGAGGCCCAAGGTTTGTCTGAAGAAGAAGGTGAGAATCTAATCAGGAGAAGTGTAGAACTCGCACGAGAGGCTCGGGATATTTATTATGACAGATGCACAATAGATTCTTCGGATTTCATCAGAGACGGAAGATATTGGAGACGCCCAATTCTAATTGCAGCTTCAGTGGGAAGTTATGGTGCTTATTTGGCTGATGGGTCCGAATACAGGTCAGTGAAATCAATAATCGTTTGATACTAGCGATTAATGTTTGATCATGCAAGAGTTTAGGGGACAAATTGCAGCAACACTTCTAAAGTTTGAATTAATACTTAGTTTAAGTTTTAGAGGTATTATAATCGGTTTTGAATATCTGGTCTTTAAATGGTGGTTCTGCGTAGGGATCAAATAAAAGTGATGATGGTTTCTTGTGAACAGTACTAATGACTAATTGTGATTTTTCCCCTATTTGCAAGGTTTAAACCCACAACTTTGCTTCAACTGTATCGAGTTTATTTCATTTGACCCAATGTGCATCTCAGTTTTGAGTTTAAGGATGATGAATTAGTAATATGATTCTTGTGTACCTTCACAGTGGGGACTATGGTGATACAGTTACTGTTGAAACACTTAAGGATTTTCACAGGAGAAGGGTGAAAATTCTTGTTGATGCAGGTGCTGACATAATTGCGTTTGAGACAATACCAAACAAATTGGAAGCACAAGTATTTTCCTATTCTATCTATGTCAGGCTTCACTAGTTATCTGCAAATGCTCCCTCCCATCCTTATTGTGGTCCTTAGGATACTTTATCAGATTCATGCATTTAAGAAAATATATGTTTTTAATTATAAAAAAATGAGATGTATTTTCATTTTCACCTTTAGCTTTAGATAATAATAAAACTATGTTAAATACCTTCACATTAATTAAGAAAGGATAAAATTGAAAAAAGTAGTTTAATTATTACAAGGTGTCCTACCCTTACATTTTGGATCAAAAATTACTTTTAAAAGGTGTCCTACAAATAGGATTGGAGGGAGTATTTGTCAAATCAAATTTTTGGAACTTGATATTCAGTGTTGATATCAATATATCACTAAGGATCTCTCTTCAACAATGAAAATGCTCTTGAATCATGTGAGGCTAACACTAATCAGTTGACATCTACAAGTTCCTAGCTGAGAGTGATTGAGCAAGCTCTTGTTATGGTTGAATTAAATGCAGGCATATGTTGAGCTTTGGATGAAGAAGGCATAGATATTCCTGCATGGCTTTCATTTAGTTGCAGGGACGAAAGCAAGGTGGCTAGCGGTGATTCTATCTTGGAGTGTGCTTCCATAGCAGAATCCTGCAAGCAAGTGGTTGCTGTTGGAGTCAACTGTACTGCTCCTAGGTTTATTCATGGACTGGTTTCTTCTATTACAAAGGTGCATTTTAGTACAAGATTTTGCTTTCTACTGCATTTTGTTCCACTAGTTAACCGGTTCTATACTATTTTGGGTAATAAGTGATAGAAGCAAACACATTGATGACTTGGCAAGTAGTTGTCAGCACAGATTTATGAAACACAAGAATTAAGAGACAAAAATAAGACATGCTGATTCATCTTCTTATGGTCCAGATTATAAATTTATTCCTCCATATCATTTGTGTCACTCAGTATGAAATATTATGTTTTGGTAATGCGATTCTGAATCCCTTAACAATCATTGGATGAATCTGATAATTAAGATGAAAATTGAATAAAAGAACTTGGCATCCAGTTTATGACAGAGATAGAGAGGCCTTCGACTTTTTGATCCTGCAGTAAAACCTTTGTGTTAGCTGACCAATTCTATATTTAACGGAGTTTCTAAACTGATTTTTGTAATGTTCATTTCTTGCTAATTATGCTCCAAAAAGTACTCTTTTGTTCTCAAAATAGACATCTCTTAATGTCTACTATAAATGTTATGACAATTACAATAAATCTCAAAACAATTTTACAAATTTTGTGATGAATATCAGGTTACAAGTAAACCTGTACTTGCGTATCCCAACAGTGGCGAGACTTATGATCCCGAGACCAAGACGTGGAAGGTGAGTTATTGAATCTTTTTCTGTATCGTAACATTACAAATCCTATAGTTTCACCAAATTTACAGTGTATATTAATCTCTTTATTGAATAACACTTTCTTAGTTTCTCCAAATAAAAAAGAAAAAGAAAAGGAAAAGCTTAACTGCGAGTGATTTTGCAGAAAATATGTGGGGTGGTACATGAAGATTTTGTTTCCTACATAGGGAAGTGGCGTGAAGCTGGAGCTTCCCTCTTTGGTGGTTGCTGCAGAACTACTCCTGATACTGTCAGAGGCATAGCCAAGGCACTTTCTGGAAAAGCTTCTGAAGATGATGATAAGTGATAGTCTCAAGTTTCAAGAGACAACACATAAGTTTTAGTGTTCTTTTTCTTTGTGATGGAGGAAACGAGAGTGGTGCAGAAAGTGGTCACCTCTCTGTCTTTCACTATCTTTTTCTGATATGGCATGCACCAACATGGAGATTATATGTGTACTAGTTTACTAGGCCTGTGAGGTTTAGGGTACCAATGACGAAGATACATTTTATGTTCTATCACCAGCCCTTCCTGAGGATTTCTGCACACAAGATTATTCAAGAGATTAGAGGTGAAAATTTGGATCAAGCCAGCAGCTACTTGAAAAAATTTAGAACTAAGCTTTAAAAAAACAAGATGATATTCAGGTCATTCGGGCTTGGCCCGTATAATTTTTTTTTAAAATATATAAAATCTAACAAATATTAATTAATTCTTTATATTTTAGGTTGTTTTATATTAAAATATTATATATTTGAATCTTATATATCGGTTAAGTATAATAAAAATATATTTTATATTTTTTATAAAATAAAATATTTAATTTTAAAAATAAAAAATAATTAAAAATAATTTTAAAAATAAAATTTAAATATTTGGACCGTGAGTAGCTTAAAGGAATTTAGGATGGGCTTGATTATTTGAACATTTCAAGGGTCGGCTGTGTTTGAGTTTGGGCTTATAAGAGATTACACTACATGGACAATAGATAATGATAATTACAAGTGCTTCTTCACCACTAGACGCTAAATATACCAGACGGACAAGGGAGTCATATCATTTTAGTTAGAGAATCTTGAAAATGAAGCAGAATTAATGGTAGAACTTTCACTTCTTGAAGGGTCTTATTTTGGCTTGATTCAGAATGGTCTGGATCTTTGCTAAATGCGCTCAACTCCACACAAAAACTAACAAGTAGTCCCTGTCATCCCATTAGAAATATAAGTCACTCTTAGTTAGTTCAAACGTACCAATAGTAACTAATTAATGGCTACTTAAAATATTAAAATTGTTGTAAACTTAAATTATTGTCTAATATGATCCCTGTAATTATGCTAAACTCACTATTATAACTTTTACAATCTCTTACAACCCCTACATTACAGCCTCTAATATCGGGAAAATATGAAAAAGAAATTTAATGGTCTAAGGAGCCTATGAAATGACTAGAATAAAGAACTAAATACATGTCTATGACTAATTTATAGAATATATTATTCATGATGGGACATTGTTTTATAATTTCTAAGTATGTAGAACACCATAAAACATGTTCATTTGAATTTCAATCGTTTTTTCAAAGACATTACAGTTTGCCTCACAGCCTTTAGTCACTCACACCCTCTCATTTAAAAAGGAGATAAGCATTATTACATGCAACTGTCTTTAACTATACACAAGAAATCAGAAAATAAAACAGAACAAACAAACAAAGAAATATTCACATCAATAAAAAGTAAAATAATAAATTAACAACACTTCTCACGCGCAATGTTACATCAAACATTTTAACATTGCAAACATATATATTTTAATTAAAGAATGCAAACATAGAGATGGAGCGGCCAAATCAAACAGGGCATATGAATGATTTTAATCCACAATTTTACTTTATATTTTAATTTTAATGTGTTCCATTGCAATAGAATTCTTATTATAAATTTGTCAGATTTTTTATCCCTGTTGTTGTTTTTAGTTAAATGATTTTGCACTAAATAGATGATTCAAAGATTAAAGCAGTCTACGTAATTAGTTTGTTATTAATTCTAGTTTGCCGATGATCCTATAACACATATAGCGGGTCTTATATCACATTATATTGATAAATGAATTTTTGGAGAGTTATTCTCTCATGATCTCACTTCATAGGTTTTTGGGAATAGATTCATCACCCTTCAAACAAAAGTGATGTTGTTTTTTTTAAAAAAATTATTTTTAAATTAAATTATCTTTTTCATTATTATTTGTTGAGAATTAACAAAAAATTCATTGTCTTTTTCGTTAATATTCTTCTCTTTTAATTTTCTTAACAATCCCACGGCCAAAAATATGAAGACAAGATGAGATTCTACTTTTTGACTAAAATGCTTCAAACAAAACACGTGATTCAGTTTATGTAATTTGATTTTTGAATTTAATCTTATGATTTCTATAGTCAGTTTTAAGTTATTGTGCGTTCAGGATTATAAAGTAACTTTCAAACATTAAACAAGAACTTTATTAATTAGACTACAAGTTTTAATGCTATTTTTAATTAAACATAATTAATTTTATGGAGATTTTGTGTTATATCATAAGTGTTAAATAAAAAATTAACAAGGATAATATTATCTTTGCATCCCAACATTAAATTATATTTAGGTTTTAGGGAACTTGATTATAATTTATAAATTTTACAGGATTTATTTATAGATAAATCTGCAGTTGGGGACGAACCTGTAATGTTTTCAAAAAAAAAAAAAAAAAAAACATTGTCGTCGAGTTAAAGCTCATCTTAGAGGCTGGGGCATATCAGGAGGAGCTGCAGCAGCGGCTGATCCGGCCATGGCCGCAACGCTTAAGGCACCTCCTATGGTTTCGGCTTGTCCATCTTCTGCAACTCCCACCATCCATAAGGAATTCAAAGCCATGGTGAAAAGCCCACATATTTCGCTACTTGAGAACAGCAAAACCATGAAGGAACTCACACAACTACACTGTGACATGATGAAGAAAGGTCTATGTCGTAAAGCTTCTTACGTTAACAAGCTAATTTCCGCCTGTGTCGAAATGGGTACCTATGAGAGCTTGTCCTACGCTCGGAATACGATCGCATTGTTCAACGACGATGAAGGTATCCTTGGTTCGTTGTTCATGTACAATTGTTTGTTAAGAGGGTATGCTTCCATTGGACTCTGTGATGAAGCAATCTTGCTTTACAATCAAATCTTAAATTTGGGCATTGAGCCTGATAAGTATACGTTCCCATTTTTACTCAGTGCATGCTCGAAAGCTATGGCGATTTCTGAGGGGATTCAAGTTCATGGGGTAGTTATCAAGACGGGTTTAGAGAAAGATTTGTTTGTCAGGAACTCTTTGATTCATCTGTACGCGGAATGTGGGGAGATTGAATTGGGACGAAAGGTGTTTGATAAAATGCTTGAGAGAAATGTCGTGTCATGGACTAGCTTGATCAATGGTTATGCTGGGAGGGACTCAGCAAAGGAGGCCGTGTCTCTGTTCTTTGAGATGGTTGAGGCTGGTGTTGAGCCCAATTCAGTGACCATGGTGTGTGTTATTTCTGCCTGTGCGAAGTTGAAGGATTTAGGATTAGGTAAAAGAGTATGTGCCTATATTGGTGAATTGGGAGTGAAGCTTAATACCCACATGGTGAATGCACTTGTTGATATGTACATGAAATGTGGAGATATTGGTTCTGCAGAGCAACTTTTTTATCAATGTGCTGATAAGAATTTGGTTCTCTACAACACTATCATTTCAAACTATATTCGCCATGGGATGGCAAGAAAAGCACAAGTAGTAATACACGATATGATGCAACAAGGACTGAGACCAGATAGGGTAACGTTGTTATCAGCAATTGCAGCCTGTGCACAGTTAGGCGATCCATCTGCAGGAAAATCATCTCATGCTTATGTCTTGAGACATGGCCTTGAAGGTTGGGACAGCATAAGCAATGCCATTATTGACATGTATCTGAAATGTGGCAAAAGAGAAGCAGCTTGCAAAGTTTTTGAGCCTATGCCAAACAAGACAGTGGTGTCGTGGAATACCTTACTCGCAGGTTCTATTAGAGATGGTGACCTGGAACTAGCTTGGAGAACCTTTGATGAGATACCAGCGAGGAATCTTGTATCTTGGAATACCATGATTGGGGCGCTGGTTCAGGAGGGCATGTTTGAGGAAGCAATTGAGCTGTTCCGGGAGATGCAGAGCAAGGGGATTAAACCAGATAGCGTGACAATGGTGGGTATTGCATCTGCCTGTGGGTATTTAGGAGCTTTTGATCTTGCCAAGTGGGTCTACTCTTACATTGGGAAAAATGGCATTCACATTGACTTGCAGCTTGGTACAACTTTGGTTGATATGTTTTCAAGGTGTGGTGATTCCGAAAGTGCTATACATGTTTTCAGTACAATGGAAAAACAAGATGTGTCTGCTTGGACTGCTGCCATTGGGGCAATGACTATGAAGGGAAATGCCGAAGGAGCTATTGAGCTTTTCAATGAAATGCTGGAAGAAGGTGTGAAACCAGATGAGGTTGTTTTTGTGGCACTATTAACAGCATGCAGCCATGGTGGCTATGTGGAGAAAGGAAGGGAACTTTTTAAGTCAATGAAGGAAACTTATGGAATCAATCCTCAGATTGTTCACTATGGATGCATGGTTGATTTTCTGGGCCGAGCTGGGTTTCTGGGAGAAGCTCTTGATCTCATCCAAGGTATGCCGATGGAACCTAATGATGTGATCTGGGGCTCTCTTTTAGCTGCTTGCAGGATACACAAAAACGTTGAATTGGCACAATTTGCAGCGGTTAAGATCACTGAATTGGCCCCTGAAGAACCTGGGATTCATGTGTTACTATCAAACATATATGCTTTTGCAGGGAAATGGGATGACGTTGCAAAAGTTAGGCTGCGGTTGAAGGAAAAAGGGGTTCAGAAAGTGCCTGGATTAAGCTCAATAGAGGTTCATGGTATGATTCATGAGTTCATATCTGATGATCAATCACACCCAGAAAAAATAAACATTGATTTAATGCTAAAGGAAATAAAATGCAAACTAGCTGAGGCAGGGTATGTTCCAGATATAACTAATGTGTTGCTAGATGTTGATTTAAGGGAGAAAGAGCACTTGCTTAGTAGACACAGTGAGAAACTAGCCATGGCTTTTGCGTTGATCAACACTGGTCAAGGCAGGCCCATAAGGGTAGTTAAGAATCTTAGGATGTGCTCTGATTGTCACACATTTGCAAAATTAGTGTCAAAATTATACAACAGGGAAATCACTGTTAGAGATAATAACAGGTACCATATTTTCATGCAAGGATTTTGCTCCTGTGGAGATTATTGGTAATAGGATTACAGAGATTTTTACCAAAATAAACAAGAATTACAAAGAGGAGTTTTGATATCTGATACTACAATTCAACTTCCCTCTTTGTCAATTTAAGCTAAATAAGCATCGAGTCATACAGAGAACTGAAGGGGGGATGATCACGGAAAGAGATGTTCTTCTGATATACAAAAGGAAAAATACGTCAGTGAAACATTTTGCCAAATCATTGATAGCCAGTAATCAAAATGGCTTCATGATGAACCTTCTAATGCTGGAAAAATGGAATCAACAAAAGCATGGTGCATTGGGTCCTCCTTCCAGAGTTTCGCAACATGAAGATGAGAAGAGGTCTTCCGATGGACTTCTTCAAGAAGCCAGATGCTGGCTTCCGCTTTGCAAGGATGAATGATGTCGTCCAAGGGCTTATACTCATCCTCACTGTCAATTCTCAACTGGTCCCACTGCTTAAGGAGAATATTTGTGAGGTAATGAAGGGGCTGACCATATAATTGCTTCATGGATCTGCCTAATCCCATCCATGAGGTATAGGGGATGACAGAGCCACGGTGTCTTGGGATTGGGATCTGCTTCATGTAATCCTGATACATTGCTGCTCTTCTGATCAATAAATCTGCATGCAAGCATGAGTTAAATAATAATTGCATTTACAAGAGTGTCAAATGGTCGAATGGCTCAAAAAAAAAAAAAAAAAGCCACGTGAAACACAAAAGAAGCCTCAAGGCTGCTTCAGGGTTTTATGTTTCTAAAGTGATTTTTGGGTTGGCGTTATATAAGAGCTATTGCAAAACAAAGGGTTGCAGGACTGCAGAGTTAAGACTTGTATATGAACGCATATTCAAAGCAACACCTGTAAGGTCTTTCAAAATGCTATAAACACTTGGAAGCCTAGAGGATAACAATGACTCCAAGATCTTCAGCTTCTTAATTTTCTTAGCAATGAATTTTTTCCCCATTTTCTTCCTTATGATGCTCTGTGCTTGAAAGCAGTCATCAAAGCCCATTTTGTGAATTGTATGGTTGAAAATTATATTGCATTTTCATTGAAAACCCATTGCATGTAAATGGTGAAAAATATGAAAAGTTTACGGAAGGATAAAATTCTCACTGCTAAGAAACATCAAACGCCAAAGAAGAAACCACAAACACACAGGCAAACATGCTTATGTAAAACCAAGCACCAAAGTTGTACTGGTAGCTTATTAATCTTAATCCATGAGATCTGTGATCCATAAACTGCAGAAAAACGATTTCTTAGAACAATATCTTCAATGAAGTTCTGGTCAAATAAAAGGAAGAAAAAGAAAAATAGCTAATATAGGCTATAAAACTGGATGATACACTAATACAATACGTTTGCGTAAATAGTTGAAATTTCTTGGCTCCTTTACATGTTATATAAGGTGATTAATTTTAAGATTCACAGTTGTTCAATTGAAATCTGTATATATCGAAGTGTTTACAGAAAACATGGCAGATCAGTTGTCTTCTTTACTATCAGTCGCCTTATTTACTGTACTGATATAATGTCAGACAACTCATTAGAAAAGAGAAGAGCCAGATTCCCAGTAAGCAAATACCTTCAGACAGTACATCTCTGGCAATGTGAGATACTGTTAAGTCAATAGCAGTCTTGGTATCGTTACCATTACTGACCTCCATCTCTGAGTCTGAAGAAGATTCATCTGATGCTGATGAGACTTCAACTTGATCATCCCAAGGAAATGACCTCTTCATGGTGTTGACTTTAGAAGATAAAAATCTACACACACACACACGTATGAATTTGCCAATTGCAAACTACGAGTTAAATAAAACCCACCAAGAAAAGAAAAAAGCACAGTAAATTTAACCCAAGGTTTAAAGGTGAAAGGTGTCCTTAGTGCACTAAACCACTAACATGACTAAGGTGAGAAGTGCTAGAAAGGACATACCAAACGAAGCAAGATGCTAAAATAGGCAAAAATATAATATATATATATATATACACACACACACACATATATCTTTCTTTTGGCCAGAATTATACTATGTCGAAATATATATATATAAAACTTGGAATAACATTTAACGTATAAATTAATATTTAACCCTTCAGGCGAGAAATGCTAGCGAACGCCCAAATGAAGTAAGAAGTTCAAGTAGTAAAGAAATATGCCATATAAACAAGACATAAATATATGAACATTTTGTTCGTTATTTTCAGGTTTGCCAGTATCTCCACCACAATTACAACAACACAACGACAACAGCTTACACCCATAATTCATGCGATTAGTACAATTCTTCCATGTTCAAACTTTTTGGGGCCAATAATAAACACAGCATTAAACAAACAACTGCATCAGTACCACATGATTGATACAATGCAGTCGCCCTACAACTTGCATGAAACCAGAAATATCTTCAAAGATAATATCATCAGCACCACAAAATTCTTCCATGTTCAAACCTTGAAAACAGTTTGCCCCCTCTCCTTCACAATTAAGTGGGTCTCATTCCCACGGGTTGAAATGAAACAGAAACAAAAGATGCGCATTTCCTATTTTGCATAGCTATTGAAGACATTTCATCAGGCACCAGACGTGCAAACTGAAATCAGAGTCAGCAAAAGCGGAAGACGAAGCAAAATTGAAACGAGCATAATAGCATATGTCTGAGAAAAAGAGATCGAAAGGGGACTTACCTTGAGATTGGTGACAGAATCTGTTTGACAGTTTCCGGAGGAGGATGATCAGGAAATCAAACCTTGGCGTCTGACCTAAACAAATTAAATGCGTAGATCGAAGCAAGAACCGAGGGATCTTGGGAAATCCATTCAAAATTCTCAGGGTGGGCTTGGGCTGTTCCTGGCTGAGGCCGAGGTGGAGTAAAAAGAGACGCTTTTTGAGAATAACACGTGGCAGCCATCGAAGCAAGCATCATTCCCAAACCCCACAGCTACGGGCAAAAGGATTCAGTACACTGGTTATAAATTGACAGTTCAAACAAGTCCCATCAATCTCAGCCGTTCGCTTGATCCAACTGTCTCACAAATTCCCACGTCATCATCTCCTCTCCAGAAGAACAGGATCTCGACCGCACGATTGTTGGATGCGTAATCCAATTACTAACCTGGCGTAATCCAATCATATGCAGTCCACAGCCGTGGGGAATGGAGGACAAACGCGTGATGATTGTGATAAATATTGGCGGGACGCAAGAAAGACAAGTGGCTTATGATCATTTAAGAAGAGAGGTGGTGCCTTTCAAGTTAAAAATAACCAAAGAGAAATATAAATGGGAATCCATGACGTTATGGGAAGGGGATACCTCTCTCTCTCTCTCTCTCTCTCTAATACATTCTTCTCCTACCTTTTGTATCTGTTCTAATTTCTCTTCTTCCTAAACTTTATAATTCTCCTTTCTCTGCTTATTTTCTATTTGTTATCATCTTTTCTTGTTCTTTGTTGTTATGAAGAGATATTTGAATATATATTTTTAAATGATCAATTTAGTTCATGACAAATGGTGGTTTTATTGAGAGACAATTGAAGCTATATTGAGTAACCAAAACATAGGTAGCACAATCCATGACTTCGATGGAGCAAGAAAAACAACATTATGATTCTTCTAGACATGATCGAATTGACGCTACCCTTATTGCGATGAAGGATTATTATCACTTGGATAGAATTGAAGCTAAACTTGCTGCTTTGATGAACCGTTTGGGTTTGGCTTATGAGCTACCATCTTCTCAAGAAGCTGCTACTCATCGTTCTTGTTGATGTTCTGAGACTAGAGAGGTCCCAACATTAACAACAACTATCGAGTCCATTCTTAAACAAAGTGAGGGTGTTGACGATCACTCTGCCACTTTAATGTTGTGCAAACCGATGGTTAAAGAAGACACCATTAATGGCCATAATTTTATGCACTCTGTTGACTCTATCTTCATGAGCTTCAAGACATGTTTGTCATCGCTTTCAATGAATGTAGATGTCTGACTCCGACCTAAGGTTACCATGTTCGAGGGCTCCATTACTGAGTTCAAGCTGCATTGCCTCTGCTAGCTCTAAGATTGTCGCTCCACAAACTCGTTAAGGTTCAAAGGGTACCCACGTTGGAATACTATTGCTGGGCCTGAGAAATATTGGCCTAATCCAAGCCTCTTCGATGCATTATATTTTGCTGCCCTAAGAGCTCGTTCATCCTCTTTAGTTTGCAAGCATATGTCAGCCAAGAGCATGACTAGATACTTGTACCTGCTCCAGTAGATGCTCTCTGCATGGATGAAGTGTTGCGCACTATATGAGCCATTACATAGGTTAAGATCACGCATCAGAGGATTTTTCAAGACTTAATATGTGGCATGATATTTGATTCGAATATTTATATTGTCCCTTCTATTATCGTGAAATGGCATCTACCAACATTATTTAAGTATTACTTTGCTATCGCTGGTGAATTAAATGGTTATGGGATTCATTTATATGGTAGTGGATTTATACTTGCCTAACTATTTGTTCAATATTTGACCTTGGTATTCCTATCTCCCTTCTTCCTAGCATGACTTATGGCCTCAAAGCATTTTAGTTTTAGTTTATTGACTATGGAGAATTTTCATGATTTGGAATTACTTTAAATGGATTTCTTGTTAAGCAGCAACTATTTTCCCTGGGTTGATTAATCATTTAATATTTGATCATGGACCCACCTTTACCGTCTCACACTATATTTGTTCTAGTTCCCTGCCATTCAAGTTTTTTCATAATACCCCTTATATTTCAAATGGTGATTCTGTCAAGCATGAGTTGGTAACTAGTATGCTGAACTAATTAAATTCATTCTGTGTTCAACAAAGGCTGCCATGTTGCTTTAATATTATTTAGGCATAGTAGTTGTACTTGTGAATGCCTTGCACGAGTTGATTGGGTATGGCTAGTCTTTAGGCTACAGGTTTCGTCACTTAATAAAAAATATTGAATTAGTACTTATAGACTAAGATGTAATAGGTATAGCAATCGTTCAATGGGTATATGATTCTGGCCCCTACATCCTTGTTCTCCTTTATTTCCCAGTATACATTAAAACTGTTAAGTTTTGGCTCTTGTCACTTAAAAATTCTAACTATGTTGGGTTTGCCTAATGGTTGCAAGTTCTGTGGTGCCTACCTAATAATTTTTCCACTTTGTTCTTACTTTTAATTACGGTGTTGGATCCTGGAAGTCTTATAAAAGCTTGGTACTTGAATGAAATGGGTGCATATTATCATTTTTCATGCTGGAATTGTTGTTTGTCATGTGATCATACTTTAAGTATATTGCTAAGTGAGTTTACATCTGATTTGTTCAGTGGCCATTCTATAAGGGACATGAATACTAAGTGTGAGCATAAAGTATTTGACCAAATAACTAAAAGGGACATAAATTCTTGAGTTGAGACGATTGCTACAAGTGTAGACATTTTTAATGTGGTATCTGCAGGACAATACTTTGATGGATTGCCAATTATAGATATGGTGACATGTATAAGTATGAATAATACTTACTTATAGTATTACATGTTAAGGCAATCATTAGAGCCTTTTGAGCAAGGTGTGAACATTGTAATTGATATAATTACCTTAGAAATATTTTTTGTTACAAAGTCCTTTCTCCAAAACTCTTTAGTTCTCTCAGAATTTTCAAATTGATGTTATATCTCCATCATATTTGTTTGAATGGCTTCATGCTGCTTTTATGAAACATCATGTATCTAAAATACTCAATGATATTAAATGGGGGCCTAGAATATCCAATGATATGGCTGCACCCAATGGGCATTTTAGGGTTGAGTTAATTATTGCGAATGTCAGAAATGGCATTATGAAATCTGCAAGACATAATTGTACAAAGAGCTTAATTTTTCAAATCCCTCTTATTGCTAGAATGACTTCTTATAGTCATGATTTATGGGAATTAGTCACAAACACAAATGTGATTGATATTTGTAGAGGCTTAGTCTGGGTATATTTGGATTTGTTTAAGGTGGAGTTCCTTCATGCATTCATAATTGAGTCTCTTGGTCACTTTTTCATGCTATTTTCACTTACACATTTTGACCTTGAGGACAAACTCGAAGTTTATGGGGAGGGTAATATGACGAATGTGATAAATATTAGTGGGACCCAAGAAAGACACATGGCTTATGATCATTTAAGAAAGGAGATGGTGCCTTTCTTGCTTTGCATGATGCTGTTAGAAATAATCAACATGAGAGAGAATTATAAACAGGAATCCATGGCTATATATGAAGGGGATGATGAAGGAGTAGGGTGTGGATGATTTTAGTGATACTCTCTCTCTCTCTTTCTCTAATGTATTCTTCCCCTTCCCTTTATGTCTGTTCTAATTTCCCTTCCTCCTCAACTCTATAATTCTACTTTCTTCACTTATTTCCCATCTGTTATCATCTTTTCTTGTTCTCTGTTGCTATGAAGAGATATTTGAATATATATATATATATATATATATTTTCAAATGGTCAATTTAGTTCATGACAAAATGAAGAAAGGCGAAGATAAGGACAGTGAAGGACGACTGGACTACCATCATCGACATTAGTGCCAGTGAGAACTCAAGAAGCAGCAATACAGGAAGAGTGGAAGAGAGAGTAGTGGCTGAGATTTTGAATGAAAGGAGAGTGCGTGGTGGCATCGACTCATTAGATATTTATTTCAAAAATAAAATAAAACTAGTATTATAAATTATATGCATTAGTTGACAAAAAATGTGTTTTATATATTATAATATATATATATATATATATTAATCAAGCTAATCTTCATAGGCTTTAAACTATACCTCGATCATAAATACCAAGCCTATTTAATTAAATAAACTTTTAAATAGAAATAAATTTGGTATATTTGAACAAGAGTTAAGGATCATTTTTGCTTTTTAATTTTTTACCCAAAAGGTTAGTGGACATTTTGAACTTAAATAAGGGTCAATTTTATTCCTTAACGCTAATGATTATCTTACTCGTCCTATTGCTATTTTCTTTACCATTAGTAAGCCTTGTATTACCTTTTTTTAATACTTCCTCCGTCCTAAATTATTAGACACTTTTAAAGAAGATTTAATGTCCCAAAATATAAGACACTTTGAGAATATTAAGGTTTTATTAAATAAACTTATTCTAATACTACCCTTTCTCTCTTTATAATTAATTTTCATCCATTCTCTTTTTAATATATTAAACGATGGGTATTTTTAAAAGTTTATATTTTTTTGTTTGGAAAAATAAGGTTGTTAAGTATATTTAATTAGTTTTATTGATATGTGAGATTTTGTCTAAAAGTGTTTTATAATTTGGGACGAAGAGAGTATAAAATATTCGAGTTTAGGGCACCACTATCCCTTTGAGATAAAGTTGAGAAGTAAAAATAACTCTCAATTAAATATTTTATAATAAAAAAAATTAAAGAATGCAATGTGGGATATACTAATAATAAAAATACAGCGAGTTAATATCAAGAGTATTGAGAAAAAAATTTATAACGTTAAGGGACAGAATAAACTCTTATTTGAGTTTAAGGTACCCACTTATTTGACTTTAAGGCACACGGTGAGTCAATACTAACAATACGTTTTCAAACAATAACAACTATGCATTTTTCCAAACATAATATTTTCAAATAACAATTTCTTTTAATAAAACATACATAACCAATCACACAACACACATTACGACATAAAAGTAGAGGTTATCTTTGCTTCTCATAAGTAAACTTTCCCTTACGTCGCTCACTTCTAGCAATGCTAATCAAACAATCTACATAATATATAACATCAAACAAAATTAATATTTGTGATTAAACATTAATCACATTTTAATCCTAGGGTTAAGCTAATTAACCTTATAATCTTAAACACTTTTCCATAAAACTAACCTTCAAACTTGATCATTCTTATCATTATTGGACCTAAATATCACTTATTTAATCTTTAAACAATTAATTAACACTATTTAATCTCACCTAAAACAACTTTAAGTTTTCAATTTAAGTATCTCATTAGCATAATCATCATTAAAACTACTTAAACAACACTTATCTAACTTCAAGCAAGTCTCATAATTTGAACACATCACAATGGCATCTCCAAAAATGAAAACCCAACCTTAACCCAACATAAAATAGCTTAAAGAGAGGTTTAGAGGATAAAAATGATATCAAAGAAGTTACCTTGAATGATTAAGAGCCTAAAATCATGTTCAATGATTACTAGCCTTCAAACCCTAATAAAGCTCTTGATTTTCACCCAAAACCCTAAATTTTCTCTCTCATTCTATTTAGATTTTTAAATACATCACTTATGATGTTTTTATATCGCGCGTTGCGGGGCATGACATGAAAATAACACATTTCATTTAAGCTCACAATGTTAGATCCAATTAAACCCAATGCCTAATTTGGACTCTATTTAACCTCATAAATGGTCCTAGGCCCACTTAAAGTCATAATTAAATACCTAACTATTTAATTAACCTTCAATAACCTTCAATTAAAGTTGCATTATGTGACTCCATCATCTGTTTTCCATTTTTATCCTTTTCCCTTCTTTTTTTCTTTCTAACCCTTCTATCAAGATTTTGATTGTTTAATTTTAATCTCTTATAAAATTATTATTAAAATTTTAAAATTATAAAGAATATAAAATAATAAAATTTGAATAGCTAAAATTTAATATAAACAATTAAAAAATACAATAAAAACAAATAAAATGAAATATTTTATAAAAAATTAAATTTGGATTGTCTAAATCTTAATTTCTTGATTAGTAGCTAAGAAGAAGAGAAGGGAGAAGATGGGAAGAGAAGATGAGAGAATCTTCTCCATAAAAAAAGTTAAAGGAAAAATTGCATTCAATCCCCCAAAAAAAATTATTATCAAGAGATCCCACAAATTTTATAAAATATTCCAAAGTTTCAAATTATGCACAGGTGATTTGATCAAGGGTATTGACGACTGGACAAACACTATTTATATCTTGTAAAGAAAAATGATAATTTATAATAGTAAGTTATAAGTCACTATTGTTCAATTATCAATACCTTTAGTCAAGTTATCAATGTGTAGAATTTAAAACTTAAGAGTGTTTTGTAAAATTTATGAGACCTTTTGATAATAAGTTTTCTCTTATAGGATTTGAATGTAATTTTTTCAAAGTTAAAAGCTTATTGATTTTTTTAAATAATTAATGAGTTTTTAAAACTTTTCTTAATTTATAAAAATATAAGAAACGACTATCAATTATGTTATAAAAATTTTTTTCCACTAGCTTAAAGACATTTTCATTTGCACTTGCCTCACATACACTTGCCTCTCGCTACCGCGGCTCTCACTCACTCCCATCCTCCATCTCGTTCTTCGCCGCCGGTCCTCTAGCCATCACCGTCGCATCTTCAGGTATTTCCTCGCTCTCTGTCTCGTTCTTTGCCTTCAGCCTTAAGCCTTGAAGCTCAGGTGCCCAGTACTCCGTTGTTCTTGAGGGCAATCTTCTCAGGTTCGTCCTTCCGTTGGAACTAGGAACCTTCGGCCACCTCTCCTTCACCTTCAATCTCCATCAGGTTCGTCCACTACTCCTTCAACCACAACCCCTTCGCCTTTAATAGCTGTTGCCTGCTGGTTTTGCATTTTGATGACTTGAATCTGGGACTCCTACTGATTGAATAAGGTGTACATTTTTTTCCTTTAATCCTCCTTCAGTAGTTAAATTTCTTTTTTCCTTCCACACTTTCCAGGGCCGCAAATAAATTTTGATGATTCTGCATTGGCCAAACAATTTGGAATCGTGTATTCGGAAAAGAGATTTCGTTTTGGTACACATTAGACGAATACTAATAGAAAGTCGCTTAACATTGAAGAATAGAGAGGTCGCAAAACATTTTTCGGTGTTCACTTTCCTTCTTCCAATTATAGTCACTTTGTATCAGCTCACACGCTAAATTAGGTATCCACATTCAAAAGGAACAGCCCATCTTATTTGATTTGATACTGAGACATGGATTGATTCGATTGTGCATTTAAATTTTTGGTATGCTATGGTTGGTCCTGTATAAATTGTTTTGGTCGTACCTGTAAAAGTTTGGGGAGAACTGACATTTCCTTGGCTGTCTTTTGTGGTTTGTGAAATTGTCTGGGTATTGTTGACATGCTTCTTGCTGCATATGTGAACTTTGTGATAGTTGTATGTTAAATTTTGGGCTGCGTCTTTTGGTATGAAGTGCAGTGTGTTCTTTTCTTATAAACTGTCACACATCTTTCTCTTTTGCTTTGAGTCTCTCATTTTCCTGATTGCATCTAAAGCAGACAAAATAATTATTGTATGCTGAGAAAGAAAAATTAAGCTGCATGTTTCTGTAAATAATTATTGTTCTTTTTCTTTATGTAAATCACCTCATACCTGTAATCTCCTCCTTTTATATTGCTTCCCTACATCTGGAGCTTTATTTGTTTCTCTGCGTATTCCTTGAATCAGTGTATATAGCATAGATAGGGAAGACGAAGGAATCAATCCCACTTGTTGCTGAATGTTGTGCTTTTGATGAATAAGAGATACTCTGGAGAGGGTTTCCAGGACAGAATCCAAACGGTACTTAAACCCTGGTTGTATTATTTTTCATAGAAGAATGCAGAGTTCGCTGAAAATGCTGTCTAAGTTGCAAATCCTGAAACTCATTCACCATTGTCTTCCTCAAAGGCTTACCAACAGTAATGGGTTGTGCTACTTCTTGTACGGCAACCCACTTTGTACAATGGTCGATTCTCAGCAAGCTCCTGAGTCACCAGAACTTCCAGTTTGGGTCAAGTTACCTGACAACCAAACCCCTGAAAGCTCAGATTCTGATGATGACTTCGTTATCCCTGCACTTGCTGATTGGGTTGATGCCCATATGCTTAATGGTCGAACCCAAGTAATGAGACTCTCTTTGAGGGAGGACAAGGATGAAAATGATGTCACAGCAATCAGCACAGTTCTTAAAGAACCACATCCTTCTCCAGACAAAGTTGTTGAATCGCTAAAAAGGTATGAGTTTCTTGTGTCAGAGAATCTGGTTCAAAAGATTTTGAAAAGATTTTGCAATGACTGGGTACGAGCTTTAGGGTTTTTCACATGGGCAAAAACACAAACAGGCTATGTGCATTCTCCGAAATTGTACAACTTCATGATCGATATTTTGGGCAAGGCAAAGAAATTTGATCTTATGTGGGACTGTGTTCAGGAAATGTATCAACTTGAAGGGTATTTGACATTAGATACAATGGTTTGTGTAATGAGGAGGCTTTCCAAGGCAGAAAAGTATGAAGAAGCTGTGGAAGCATTCCAAAATATAGAGCGGTTTGGTGTGAACAAGGACATAGTGGCAATGAATGCACTTATGGATGCATTGGTGAAAGAAAATAGTGTTGAGCATGCTCACAAAGTTCTTTTGGAGTTTAAGGACTCGATTTCTCCAGATTCTCTGTCATTCAATATCCTGATTCATGGATTTTGTAAAGCTAGGAAACTTGACCAAGCCTATAAAGTAATAGAGGACATGAGGAAACATGGGTTTCACCCAGATGTTATTACATACACTAGTGTCATTGAATCATATTGCAGAGAGAAGGATTTCCGCAAAGTGAGAGAAGTTTTTCAAAAGATGGAGGAAAACGGTGTGTCTCCTAGTGTTATCACCTACACTATTTTCATGCATGCTTTAGGGAAGGCTGGGCAATTATCTGAAGTTCTGGGTCTTTATGAGACAATGAAGAGCAATGGTTGTGCACCAGACCCGCCATTTTATTCCTCACTGATATTCATTTTTGGCAAAGCGGGCAGGCTTAAAGATGCACGCGATCTGTTTGATGATATGCCAAGGCAAGGGGTTATTCAAGATGCGCTCACGTACAATACCATGATCTCTGTTGCTTGTGCGCACTCACAGGAGGAGACTGCTCTTAGTTTGCTAAAGGAAATGGAAGAGAAATCATGTAAGCCAAACATCGAGACTTATCATCCATTACTGAAGATGTGTATCAAAAAGAAGAGAATGAAGGTGCTGAACTTTCTGTTGGACCACATGTTCAGAAATGACGTGAGTCTTGATTTGGCAACTTATTCACTTTTGATAGCTGGTATGTGTAAAAGTGGAAAACTTGATCGTGCTTGCTTGTTCTTCGAGGAAATGATCTCACAGGGGCTAGATCCAATGCGCAGTACGTACAATAAATTGTTGGGGGTGCTCCAAAGCAAGAGTATGCTAAAAGAAAAGGAACATATTGAGAGTTTGTATCATAGAAGCAAAAATGCATTGTAAATTTGGCTGACCTAGTTTCAGATCCAGCAAATATTTTGCCAGTTATGAATCACTGAGCTCCATTTTTGTTTTTCACTTCTGATTTTCATAAAATTTTAATCTCCTTCTCTTAGTAGGCAGCATATGAGCTGCACAGCAAGGCAAAAAAAGAGAGAGACTTGAGCTTCTGGGTATGTAATTTGGTTGTGATGGATCACTATTGTAGCTCGTAAGCAGTTACCAATAAGGACTTACAGACATCAGGCCCTTGACTTAATAGAGCCAGAATGCCTATTTTGCATCGGTTACTGCATTGCATGCACAGTTCAGACTTTGCTGGGGCATCTTGCTGAATGGAAAACCATCAAAGGAAGAAAAGATCTGGATGAACCTAGAAAACGGTATATGGAAAGATCTGGATCAATTATCATTTCTATTGTATTGTTGATGTCTGATGCAGTTTCCTGCAGCACTGTGGAACGAGATCTTAACAAATTATTGGAACTCCATATCACTGTATTTTATATCCCTTTACTAATTCACTGTGAGGAAAGTGAGGAAAATGATATGAATGAAGTAGGCAGTGAATAGTGATAACTACTGAGAATTTGTATGGTTTCATAAGAACCAAAACTACATGAAACCAAAATCTGGGTAAGTAATGCGACTTTGAATTGATGCTCAACTTTTCACCCTTCAGAATGAACCCAGAAAACAGTATATGGAAGGAAGATCTGGGTCAACTATGATTTTTACTGTACTGTTGATGTTGATGTTTGATGCAGTTTCCTACAGCTCTGTGGAAAGAGATCTTAACCAATTATTGGAAATTTGGAACCTCATCATTGTGTATTTTATATCCCTTTACTACTTAGAGTATGTTTAGTTTCATAAGAACGAAACCTACATGAAACCAAACAAGCATTGAGATGAAAGCTGAAGGTTTGATGTGAGAGTGACGATTGCTTTCAAGTCTTATCTTAATTCCATTATTTGATGAAGACGTGAACTCTCTCCATACATTCCTTCATAGCTCCACAACTGTTTGAAGCTGACGAATGCTAATATGAGCACGTCACAAATTTTTCCATCAGTCGAGATGGTACATGGATCAAGCTTTCTTAACCACAATTTTTTTTCGGGACGAAATGATTTGTAAATGACGATAAAATTAAATAGTCCTGAAAAAAAAAATCAATTTTATATCTGTTAGTAACTTTTATTACTGATGTGGATTTAAGTTCTTTTCGTATCACGGTCCTATATTGAATACCAAAAAGATGAATGTTCTTTTTCAACAGAAATAAGTTGCCTTAGTACAAGAGGCTAGCCATTAGCTAATAAATAGTAGTTGGGCCCTTTGAATTACACGAAGTTTGATTAATGAGTTACACTGTTCAATAACTCTTAAATAGTGTGACTCGTTAGAGTTTCCATATTACGCACGTGTTTATATTGCTTTCGAAGTATTTAAAAACAATATTTATCTCATAGATGAATGAAGTAAAGAATGACAATGATAATGTGTTTGGATTAATAAAAATTTAAATTTAAAAAAAATCTTTTATTTGGATACATGAAAAATTTTGAATTCAAATTAGAATTTATTTGTAATTTCAATTCTCTCTACACCCTAATCATTTAAAATTTTAATCACTTCAAATATATTATTATCTTTGTGTTTTTATTATTAATATCTCTATAACTCTTTTGTCTTTTCTCATATTTTATTGATTATAGAAATAAAAATAAATCTATCATTTTAAATTTTTCATTGTCATTTTCAATTTTAATTTATCTCTCTTCTTTATTTGAATTTTTTTAAAAATTATCTAAACAAATGATTTTAAATACATGAATTTTAAATGTGATATTTGAAATGCAAAATTTCAAATCTACAATCTAAATTGAAATTTATCAATCCAAACCCTACCTTACTGTCTATGAATCATGGTTCAACTAACTCTACACTACACATGAACTTAAAAGATCTAATGGGTTGGTGCGATTCCTCCTTCATATTTGTTTCCTTTGTCCCCCCTTTTGGTAGCTAGGTAGATTGAAGGAGATGAATGTTGTGTGGTAGTGAGTAAATTAAGGAGATATTTTTTGTTATATATATTGCCCACCAAATACCAATATTCATGAATTAGAGTGCCTTTATTTTCAGTCAACTTCTTATGTTTGGAAATTCATCAGAAACAGGCTTTTGTAACTTTCATCAGAACACATTAGAGTGAAGTTATTCTTATATTACTATGCTCAAAGCCATGTTTTGATCAAAACTACCATATTTGAGATTTCATTTATAAGGGTTTAGTAAAGGATAATAATTTCCTCAGCATATATTCACTTCAAGAATGAAGATTTTCATGGTCTTGAAACTAAGATATACTTCTCTGGTCCTATTTATAAGTCATTTTTAATATATTTCACTAGTACCAAAGAAAACTTTATAACTCATTAATTTCATTTTAAAATTTAATAAGTTTTCAACTTTGCTCTTGTTAAATATATATACTTTAATAATATATTTTCTCTTTTCAATATTCAATGGAGGGTAAAATAAGGAATTTATAGTAAAAATTTAATTACTTGACTTATAAATAGGACAAAAAAAATTTTTTTACTTTGTCCTATAAATAGGATCAGAGGGAGTATGGGATAATAAGAAAAGGGGAGGATGGCAATAAAGTCTTGAAATAGTAAATTAATGGCAATTAGGTTCTTAGTAAAAAATTTTAAAAAATAATTATAAATATCACTTTAAATGGTTACAAACTAAAATTCAAATTATAAACCGATTGTTATATTTAGAATTTAAATATTTTATTTGCAATCAAATTTTCTAAAGTTGCAATTGTTTAAGTTGATAATTACAATTTATTTTTCAAGAAAACATGTCAAGGACTTAAATATCATTTTTTTTTTGAGAGTTCACGATCATTTTCCCTGAAAAAAATATTGTGACATGAAGTTGAGATATTCTAGAAACTTTTGGGTGAATAATTGTCCTTGGAGAATCAGCAACATGAGGTGGAATTAGAACTAAGCAGTTCATAATTGGTGTCTAGTCTAATATCGAATAGCATGGGGCATATCATTAAATATGACCGTAGACATTTCATACCATATGTCTTAATCTTTTATCAATTATGATTCTTGGAGAGCTCAAATATCTTAAGAGTTATAAGTTGAGATTGAAAATTCTTTGTAGTAAGATTTTTTCATAACTACAGACAAAAAACCCAGTTAAGTTTTTACAAAATAGTCCATATAATTCAAAATAGGATTAAATAATAAGAACATTATATATAAGTCCCATATAAATATAGGTCTCAACCTCTGATAAATACTAAAGTTTTTAAAATCTGATTGTGCTTTTCCTTTAGATAACACATACTATTACTATGTTTTTCATTAGAACCTTGTTAATCATTGGTGAAGTAATTGCATCATAGATGTCTCATGTGCTCTAACTTTATATATGGGTACATAAAAGATTTAAAAAAAAAAATTCAGGCGAGTTACTTCTTTGAAACTTATTACAAGAGCAAGTCTTAAGTTTCAAATACAAAAAATTTATAACTTACATATCAACAAAGTTCTTAAATCGACAACAAGATTCAAACATATACTCTTATGAGATGTAATGACTTGCATCTCTACTGACTCTACCAGCCTCTCTTGGCAACAAAAAACCAGTTACTAGTATGGCACTGAGCTCTTAGTTTATCAATGAAACTGTGTAGTTACAGATATGAATTGATGCAGGAGGATCAATGAAGGTTGGTGGCATGGGGATTAAAGTTGGGGGAAGGGAATATTTTGATAGCATTAAGGAGAGAGCACCAAACATGTATGTTTGTTGCTGCTTTATTTGGAAACAGAGGTTTAATGTGATGATGGATGATATAGGAACACGCAAGTAATTGTTTGGTCAGACATAAATGATTGATAAGAATTTTTACCATTAGAGAATGCTTGTTTACAATCTTTGTGTGAGCAATTCTTTAGCCACTTTTTCTGTGTTTGACTTGGTATGAAAAATATGTTGGTAATTATGAGGTTTGAATTAATTCTATTCTTAATTTTGTGCATGTTTAGTTTTATTTATATTAGAGATTTTTAGTCCGGTTTTAGTATTGTTGAGCGTAATTAGATATAGCTTTTTCAAATATTTTTTTTCATCCACGGATAAATTCAAACCCAGTAACCTATATTTAAGCGACTCTAACTCTTTTTACTAAAATCAAAATTATGATTTTGATAGAAGTATATAATCATATATTTTCACCTAAACAATGGTTTAGATGGTTTTTAGCGTGAAACCTAACATATTTTTCATTATTAATTTAGCTATTATCCTATAATTGCTTGAACAACATTGGATAGGTATCACAAATCAAAAACAAAAGTATTCATGCCTATTAAATTGTGGTGCAAAACAACAAAACATTAACATCAATATAACTCGATATAATGTTTCAAATTATAACATTATTTACAAGTTAAATTATTCAAATCATTTTCCTATAATAATAATAGTTATTATAATAATTATAATTATAATTATTATTATTATTATGTCTGAATTTTGGGACAGAGCCTCCTAGAAGGGCACATGCGCATCATCATGTAATTATGCAGAAATGAAATGTGCTTTGATGAAGATTAGCATGAGCAAAGCGTGCAAAAAAATGCATTAATTATATCTAATTTGGTTTCCCAAAATTACACCAACCTGGTCCTGTATGTTTCCCTCTAATTATGACCTTAATAGTACTTTTTAATCATCATAGGCAAAAATTATCACGCAAATTAATTACTTTACTAATTTTTTTCCTATGAAGGAGTAAATATTTTGGTACAAGTACACTTCAAGTCACACACCACATCATCGCTTCAATTCAATCCTTTGTAGTGCTACCATCCTTTTCATGAATTACCAATTAATTAGCTATTATTTAAACATATAATCCAACAATAGTGGTTTTTTTTATTTTCTTAAATATATTTCAATAATATCAAATATTAGATAATTAAATAAAAATACGTAAACTAAACTTAGAAGTATCGATATAAAATCTATAGAAAGTCACGTATTCCATAAGTTATGACCATATATAATATCCACTATCAAATTCCATGTGAATTTAAGGCCAGTTTAATTTTTGCTTTTAAAAAATGTTTTTAATTTTAAAAATAAAAAATATTCAAGTAAGTGATTTGAAATCAAATGTTTTGAAAATTGTTCTATTTTTTAGTTTTGAAAAAAAATAAAAAATTTCTCTTATTTTTTATTTTGTTTGTGGTCAACAACTTATTTTTTATTTTTTAGAACACACTGCATTTTACTATTATAAATTCTCTTTAGCTATGATTAACAACTATCACGGGCCATCACTATTGGCCATTGGAAACCAACACTATCGATCATTTTTTAATTTTAAAATTATTTTAAATTAACATAATTAGATTTTCATTTTGTTTTTTTAAAATAATTTTCATAAATTTATTTATAAAATATATTTAAAAAATAGAACAAAAGCAAACAAGTCCTTAATTTGTAATGTTTTTGAACTTTCTCTGTATATTTTATTTTGTATAATTTTGATTTTGTTTGTTTATTATTATTTTACATATTTTAATAAAACTTGAAAATTAAAAAGATGAATAAAATGC